TGATGGTGGTGGTGATGATGGTGGTGGTGATGGTGGTGGTGATGATGTTGGTGGTGGTGGTGATGCTGGTGGTGATGGTGGTGGTGATGATGATTGTGATGATGTTACAGAGATACAGATACAGATATTTCACAGCACACTCCCTATAGGGCTTTTCAGTGACTGGTTACATTATGAATAGATAGATAGAAGCAGACCGAGGTAGACCTTGAGCTTACAAATGGCGCTTGAGCCGCCGCTATTAGTCCATACATCATTAATGATCTGCCTCCATACCTCATTAATGATCTGCCTCAGACTTATGCGCCTAACCCACCCTGTCAACTTTCCCTGTGGGAGGAAACACGGAGTACCCGGAGAAAACCCACGACTTTCGGTAGAGCGTTGACTTTTACTCTTTTCACATGAGGACTGGGTTCGAGTCACATTGAGAAGTTCTCACTGAGATTCGAACCTGCGGCCTTAGAGGTGAAAGGCAAGTGCACTAGCCACTTCGCCACCGAAGCCCCATTCGCCACCGCAGCCCCATGATGTTGGTGGTGGTGGTGGTGGTGGTGGTGATGATGGTGGTGATGATGATGGTGATGATCATGCTGATGATGATGGTGATGATGATAATGGCGATGTTGATGTGATGATGGTGGTGATGATGATCATGGTGATGATCATGGTAATGATGATGGTAGTGATGGTAATAACGATGGCGGTTTTAAAGTGTCGTTTCATGATATTTAAAACTTGACATATACATCTGTAAAACTTGACATATACATCTGTAAAACTTGACATATACATCTGTATAAATATATTTAGTGATACTAATATCTATTCATCTAGCTCAAGTCGTAATACCTCCCAATTACAACGAAGCAAAAGAAATCCCGAAGATGAAGGACAAATGTAGCAGCGAAGCGGACCACAAGGTACAAACTATAATCAAGTTCTCAAATCTCGTTCTTGGGTAATATTCACCCTGGGCCAACTTCCTAAACCGAAAAGAAAATTCGTCTTGTGTTATAGGTAACAAAGAAAACAGATTTTAATGCCCTGTTTTCTGGAATGAATCTTTCTGCTGGAGCGAGGTCTGATTTTGCCGTTTATCGTAAGTTGGTAGAACCTACCGAGCCATTAATAGATATTGAAAATACAACAGCTAGTACATTGCTTGAGAACTCAGACTTTTCGACAACGCCTCATACGAATGAAAGCAACTCAGAACAAAATCCGACCGAAAATGATAAACAGACAAATGGAAAAGCGAGTAACTTACTTTCTTCTAAACACACCAATAGCGAAGTACATGCAAACCAATTTACTTCGACATCGAGTTCTGAGACTCAAAATTCTAATAATTTTGACCTAATGAGTTTAGAAACATCAGACACAAGTATTCTTGACTTTTCGACACCGTTACAAAACAGCAACTTGTCTTCACTTGAGAGTAATGAGCTCAAATCAAACTTAAATGTACACGACATTGGACAAGAACCTGACAAGAGGACGCTTAGACAAGAAGGAATGCTTTTATTTAACCCAAGAGAGACTACGGCCCGTCCTGGCGTTTCAGGGACAAATAATGTCGATTTATTGAACTGGAAACAGTCAAACTCTACTTCAAGTTCAAGCCGTACCAATTCAACACAAAATATCGAACTATTAAACACTGAACCACAAAATCCCAATCCTCCAAAAAGCCTACCACAAAAAGCAAGTCATATAAACCCTAACAGAACAGTTCAATGTATTCCCCAGAATCAAAACAGCGATTTACTGAGCTTTCAGCCTGAGCCGCGCTCTCAAACTCTTCCGGGAGGCTTGGTACTGGCTACAAACAGTTCGTCCGCGAGTCCAAGGCGACCGTTCCCGAAAGACATGAAATCGGAAACTGACGGGTTTGATTTTATTCGCAAATCAACGAAGGCCGATGCGTTTAGTTTTATAAACGATGAAATACAAGCGAGCAAAACTAAACAAAAATAGGCCCTAATCCGTATCTTGTAAAGATCGGACTATTTTGAATTATAAAATACACAATGATAACATTTATACTAATTATACAGTACATAAAATAGTATTATAAATACAGTAGTCAGTATTGTAAAAAGGAAGCAGTATAAATTTTTGACAAAATTTTGTATAGACTATAGATGAGCAAGTCTTGCTTGACAAGTTTTAATTGCTCGTGTGTAGCCTGTGTAGGGCAAAAAATTGACAATTTTTCTTTGGCAAAGAGCCTTATTCCAAAGCTATAGGCATGCCAGCTTTTGGTCAAGGAAAATTTCGGTTCGTGTGTACGGCCGCCAAAGTGTACAAGAAATACCTCTATGATTTTGACAAACAAATGGCGGTCTTGACACACAAACAACAGAACTTGTCAAGGGGAATTTGTCAAGGAAAACTTGTTGACTGTACACACGAGAAGGTAAACTTGTCAAGGAAGACTTGTTCTTCTATACGCGTAAAATTTGTAATAATATAATTTTAAATTCCTGAAGCTGCAATTCTCAGTGTGAAAATAAATTTTATGAATTTTAAAGGTTTCTGTTTAAGTTTTTAATAATCCCAAATATAGATTGAAGTACTTCAACGTATACTTGTAGCTTCCAAAATCAAATGGACAACAATTCTCAGACAAGGGATTGCTTGATTATATGAGACGAGCTATAGCCCGGCTCACACTAATGTCTTCTTACATCTTACAGCTGCTTCAAGATTTTCCTAAAATTAAGTTGACAGTTGTTTCGCACTTAAACCTCGCAAAGCTCCCGCCTGTTCAGACAAATTAATGAAAACAGAATCGAGGAAAAATCCTGAACAAAAATTTCCAAGGCCAAGCGTTCCAAATGGCGTTACTAAGGCACAACAATTGACGCGAAAAATGTGCCGCCTTTTTCAAAGCTTCAATAGAAGAAACGAGAGTGGGTGTCTAATGTTTGACCACCTGTCACAATAATTGTTTAAGAAAATAATCACTTTCATTTCAAAACCGCTAAAGATTAACTACTATTACGCTGTTTTATTGTGAAAATCTGAGAAAACGTATCTTTTTTGTAACTCTTTCCGAGTTCGTTTCTGTAGCATTTGCTGAATTCACGAAAAAGCAAAGGGAAGATATTTTCGAGGTAATTTAAAGTTATTGTTTGTCTCTAGCTATGATTATACATTGAACATTTACATATTTTTATTATTCACATTAGGCTGCAGAATATAGGTACGTACTCATATGCGTTGTGTTTTATATTTATAAATGTCCTTTGTAGTACGTAGGGGATATATAAAGCAAGGTCAAAAGACTAAACAAAATTTTGAATTTAAAATTAACTTCAAAATGTCAACAATGATTTTATCACTTTTAAAAATTTTTTGACGGAAAACTATGGGGTAATGTTATAGTAACTTTATCACTGGATCGATGAGAGATGACCCTATACCTCTATGGAGAACAATTTAGAACCGATAGAGCTATCCAGTATCAATAGAGCTAGTTTAGTTTAGGTTTCCTCCTGTAGTAACACTGGATCAATAAGAGATGATCCTTACTGGACCTCTAGGAAGAACAGTTTAGAACTGATAGAGCTATCCAGTATAAATAAAGTTAGTTTAGTTTAGGTTTCCTCCATGTAGCAACACTGGATCAATAAAAGAATCCTTACTAGACCTCTGGCTCTAGGAAGTATAGAACTGATAAAGCTATCCAGTATAAATAAAGTTAGTTCCTTCTTATACAAGGTCATGGAAGCTAACGAAATTCCAGGAAATCTCGCTAACCAACCTCCCAAGCCCAGGCGACTTCCAGAAGTCCCGATGGACCAAGAGCCTTATGACGTCACCAAAGCCCCTCGGAAGCCGCCTCGACAGAGATCACGTGGTCAGAGGTGTTCGACCCCAGATCTCCAGCGACGAAGGTCCGGTAGTTCCAGTCTTCATAAACGTTCCAGATCTCTGTCGGAATCCAGATCCTCTACGGAGTCCAGACGTCTGTCTGTCGGTTTTGGTGACTCGGGGGACAACCCACTTATCACGCAGAACGGAAACTTGAAACACAAAAACGTATCAGTTGACAGTCAAGGTAAAAGTGTCGTAGCTATTGGTGACACAGTCGATAGCCCATGTGCCTTTTGCCTCTATGATCGAATTTTTTAGTTCCTTCAATATGCAGTTGTCTAATTATAATTTTTTGTCAGTCACATGTGAGAAGAGTGCTTCCAGTTTGACTCTAGCAAACACGGCATGTTCTAACGCCGGACAAATTGGGTACGGCCCTTATCCTGGATCTCAAGGAAGAACAGTTTAGAACTGATAGAACTATCCAGTATAAATAAAGTTAGTTCAGGTTTTCTCCTGTAGTAACACTGGATCAATAAGAGATGATCCTTACTGGACCTCTAGGAAGAACAGTTTAGAACTAATAGAGCTATCCAGTATAAATAAAGTTAGTTTAGTTTAGGTTTCCTCCTGTAGTTACACTGGATCAATAAGAGATGATCCTTACTGGACCTCTAGGAAGAGCAGTTTAGAACTGATAGAGCTATCCAATATAAATAAAGTTAGTTTAGTTCCTGTATCCTCCTGCGATTTGAGTGAAATATCCAAAAATTCTAATTTTATTTCCATTTAGCTTCTTTGACTACAAGCGTGAATAAAGCCACACCCAGAAAAGAACCATTCTCCCTCCCGGCTTACTGTGGTGAAGACGCCATATTTAATCGTCGTTGTACCACTTGTCATCAAAGAATATTCCCCGAGGGAGAACACTACCTGATTGCGCAATCTCTGTTGTTTCATGTCACGTGTTTCCGGTGTTCTATATGTACCACGTGTTGTGACGTCACAGATTATTGCTACGTCACGGAACACGAGAAATTTTACTGCTTACGTCACTATCATGAAATGGTCGCGGCCGGGATAGGGATTGGTGATGAGGGAAGAGTTGTGAACGGTACTGGACCAGGAGCATTTGCGGGTAGAGTTGTTTGTTGCGAACTTTGCATTAATAGTGTCATGATCCAGTAATATTTCATTGTCCTTTCATTGTTTTTAAAATCTCACTGTTCTCCATGCCATCTAGTCATGATCCAGTGATCAGAATGTTCCATTGTCTTTTCATTGTTTTGAAAATCCCACTGTTCTCCATGTCATCCAGTCATTATTTAGTTATCAGAATGTCCCATTGTTTTGAAAATCTCACTGTTCTCCATGCCATGATCTAGTTATCAGAATGTTCCATTGTCTTTTAATTGTTTTGAAAATCCCACTGTTCTCCATGCCATCCAGTCATGATCCAATAATCAGAATGTTCCATTGTCTTTTCATTGTTTTGAAAATCTCACTGTTCTCCATGTCATCCAGTCATTATTTAGTTATCAGAATGTCCCATTGTTTTGAAAATCCCACTGTTCTCCATGCCAATGTCTTTTCATTGTTTTGAAAATCCCACTCTTGTTCATGTAATCTAGTCACGCAAGGTACTATTATTAGCGCTCAATGAAAGATCTAATATGACTAGCTTGCTTTGTATATTGTGACGAATTACTGATGAGTCTAAGAAATATATAACCCAGCAAAGATATGCTGTTCCTAACTAAACATAGCTCATTTTTAAACTGATATTAAAACTTTGCTATTCATCATCCAGAAATTTCTTTATCCACAGCTGTTGTCGGCAGCCGACGAAAGCGCAAAGAAATTGTGAAGACTTTGATTGAATTACAAAATCGTCGAACAAAACTGGCTCAAATTGCATTTCAGTTAGAAGAAGCCATGAAAATGGCTAAAAGTAAGTACCAGCTAAAAATTACCATGGCACTGATGAATAGGTTTCACAAAACACTGTCATGTCGCTAACGGTAGCAAACTTGCAGTTATCAATAGAACAGACTGATCACTGTGATCAGTGATTGTCAGAGTGAGAGATTAATAGTAGTCTTGTATTTGGTGGTAGATAAATAGAATTGAGCGACGTGGTTTAATTTTTTTGCTCTATAAGTTTCAACAGTTATGAGGTAGACCACTAGTTGCGGCTTGGCAAAGCTTACTGAAACCCACCCAGTCCCAAAAATGGTGCTAAATTGATGAACGATGTTTCTTTACAGGCGAGGAAGAGCCATTTCTATGGAAACATTGGTTTGATGTCACATACGAGAAGATAATGATAGCAAGAGCCGTGACCGAGTTAGCTTATCAGTAAGTTGATTACTCATGGTGATGATGGTGGTGGTCGTGATAATGGTGGTGGTGATGATGGTGGTGGTGATGATTGATGATGGTGGTGATGATTGATGATGGTGGTGATGATTGATGATGGTGGTGATGATTGATGATGGTGGTGATGATTGATGATGGTGGTGATGATTGATGATGGTGGTGATGATTGATGATGGTGGTGATGATTGATGATGGTGGTGATGATTGATGATGGTGGTGGTGATGGTGGCGATGATGATGGTGGCGATGATGATGATGGTGGTGATGTTAGTGGTGATGGTGATGTTGGTGGTGATGATGATGGTGGTGGTGATGGTGGTGGTGATGATTGATGATGATCGTGGTGGTGATGATGGTGGTGGTCGTGATGATCGTGGTGGTTGTGATGATGGTGGTGGTTGTGATGATGGTGGTGGTCGTGATGATGGTGGTCGTGGTGATGGTGGTGATGATTGATGATGGTGGTGATGGTGGCGATGATGATGGTGGTGGTGATGTTGGTGGTGGTGGTGATGATGATGGTGGTGATGGTGGTGATGATGATGGTGGTGATGGTGATAATGATGATGGTGGTGGTGATGATGATGGTAATGGTGACGATGATATTAGTGGAGGTGATGGTGGGTGGGGTATCATGATGGTAGTGGTGGTGGTGATATGATGTTGATGGTAATTACTACCATAAGGTTGTTTTATAGGCTCAAGGAGATCGAGCTGTGTGACGAACAAGAACAACTACAGAGAAAACTACGACTTATTAGGAAAGAGCAAAGTATGTAACTTATTGAATTAGAAAGAAAGACGGGAGATTGGAAGAAAAAAAGGTTGAAAAGCAATCAAACTGGCAGAAACATTAGTGGGGCGGGGGGAGAGGGGCAACTGCCACTTTGTGTCCTCATTAAGGCCGTTTTCAACCATATAGTAACGTATCGTAGCATTTTCTTTTGTGTCGAAGTAATTAGTTCCACTCTAGTGCTCAGGAAACTACGCTTCCACTACACTTCGGTGTGATACGGTTGATGTGGAAACGGCCTTTAACGATAGCCGTTTCAGTGATCAAGCACGTTTTAGCAATGATTTTGGAAACAATGAAAACTTTCATGATGGAAACCACAAGTCACACCCACAATATTGTTGGAAAGAATAAGAGATGGAGGAAACAATGTTTATTTCTTTTTAGGAAATGTAAATCAGGTGGATAGAGCAAGAAAAGAGAAACCATGTTTACACGACATATTAAATGTGATTGAAAAACGAGATCTGCTTTTACTTGAACTTGAAATAGAACGAAGGAGGTGAGTGCGGGAACTTACACACTGAACTATTCTGGATAGCCATCCGTTATTCGTTCAGTGTTACCACAGGAAATCTAAATTAAACTAAACTAAACTAACTTTATCTTTAGTGGATAGCTCTATCAGTTCTAAACTGTTCTCCTTAGAGGTCCAGTAAGGATCATCTCTTATTGATCCAGTGTTACTACAGGAGGAAACCTAAACTAAACTAACTTTATTTATACTGGATAACTCTATCAGTTCTAAACTGTTCTCCCTAGAGGCCCAGTAAGGATCATCTCTTATTAATCCAGTGTTACTACAGGAGGAAACCTAAACTATACTAATTTTATTTATACTGGATAGTTCTATCCGTTCTAAACTGTTCTTCCTAGAGGTCCAGTAAAGGCATCTCTTATTGATCCAGTGTTACTACAGGAACTAAACTAAACTAACTTTACTACAGGAGGAAACCTAAACTAAACTAACTTTATTTATACAGGATAGTTCTATCAGTTCTAAACTGTTTTCCCTAGAGGTCCAGTAAGGATCATCCCTTATTGATCCAGTGTTACTACAGGAGGAAACCTAAACTAAACTCACTTTAATAGGTTTTGTTTGTGGAAACACCACGTAAATTTATAATTTATAATTTATAATTTATAATTTATTGCAGTAATAAATTTACGTGGTGTTTCCACAAACAAAACCTATTATATTTTATCACCATGCAAACATACAAAGAACTTATAAACTCACTTTATTTTTCTTTTAGAGATGATGACGAGACTCAGAAATTGAAGTCAATATTCAAAGGTTTGTTGTAGCATTCCACACGACATTCCTTTCCAATGAGAAATCTTCCACATTATGCACCTGCCTTCAATTCGCGACTAGCCCTGGGTACGAGGTTGATTATGCACTGGTTCGCTTTACTGTTTCTTATTCTCATTATTAAATATTTATGTTTTATCTGAAATTTGTTTTAATTTTCGATGTTTATGTTCAATACTGTCGGTATTTTTCAGCATTTTTAAACCTGTCTATGACATCATAGAATAAGTTCATTTACATATCAAGCATGGAAATAATTCGAAGACAGATATTGATAAAGTGTAAAATAACCATGAGTCAAATCTCATGCGTGACCTTTCGAAACTCTTGTTCTCGTTTGACCGGGGCACGAGAGTTGAAACAACTCTCATGTAAACTTTCGCTTGTCAATTCTTATCAAGTCACACACTCGTTTGTCTACATCAACTGCCGATTTAATGTTTCTAATAATTTAAATTATGTTATTTCTAGACCAGTCAAAGACAGTTCGTTCTCAAAAAGTGGACTATAATAAGTCAAGGAATTTATCGTATAAGAACAGTCAAGATGGACAGTGCGTAATTTTGTAATTGGCGATACTGAGTATGTAAGGTATTAATGTGAACCGACGTTGTACAGAACTCACTGTTGAGTCTTACATGGCTAGATCATGTAGAGGTAGTACATGTTCTTTAATATAGGCTACAAGTGATCTGATGTTGTACAGAACTCACTGCTGAGTTAAGCATGGCTATATCATGCAGAAGTAGTACATGTTCTTGAATGTGAGCTACCATAAAGTGATTTGATGTTGTACAGAACTCACTGCCGAGTTAAGCATGGTTAGATCATACAGAGGTAGTACAAATTCTTGAATGTGAGCTACCATAAAGTGATTTGATGTTGTACAGAACTCACTGCCGAGTTAAGCATGGTTAGATCATACAGTTGTAGTACAAATTCTTGAATGTGAGCTACCATAAAGTGATCTGATGTTGTACAGAACTCACTGCTGAGTAAAGTCAAGTCTCGTGAACGCTCTGAGTAAACATGGTTAGATCATGCTGATGTGGTGAGGTTGTCTTGAATGTATGGGCCATGGGGCGGGGCTGGCCCATGGGAATGTTGTTGAACATTTATCTCGCGTCAAGGCTGCCTTTTGTTTGCCAAAACCGTAGAAGTATTTCTTGTACATTTGTCAAGTTTTGTTTAGCAGCCGTACGCACCAACACATTTTCCTTGTACAAAAGCTGGCATAAGTGGCAAGGAAAAATTGTCAATTTTTTGCCGTACACTTGCAGGAGCAAATATCCTGGCTGATATGGAGGCCCCTAAAGGGAGCGATATGTGATGTTGTACAGAACTAAGTAGATTTAAGTCCTCCTGTTAATCAGACATGTAACACACGTAACATAAACTTACTTTGGTATTAAAATCAGAGAATATTTAGAATAACCTACGGCTACGTTAATAATATAAACTTTCGATTTCTTGACCTGAAGGTTGTTTCTCAAATTTCAATGCGGCACATGACTTGTTTAAGCTTGCTCACAGCAGGGACTCTACTGTCAGATTTGAATTCGCTTTTGAATGAAAACTAAAGCGTAGTCACTAAACCATAGGTACAGTTTATATCTATGATTCAATTGTATGCTATAATACACTGACATTGTGTTGTTAGTGATTAAATATTGTCTCATACCAAGCGTCAAGTGGCTAACTAAAGGCTCTTATAGATATGCATGTCTGGGCCTATATCAACCTTCCTTGTATTGTCAATAAAATATAGCCGATAGTATATATCCTGTTCGACAGTATTATATATCGAAATGAAATCTAGCTGAATTGTGTCTCAACTCGTCATGGAAAGCGGCAAGGCGTTTGTGGTAAAATTGAACTCGGCCGGTGTTAAAGCAAGGTATTTGAATATATTACATCGTCAATATTGGCATTTGTAATTTTATATGTCGTGTGGAATCTAGCTGGAATGTGTTTTTATGATTAATGTATTCAAATTGCCTGACAAATTGCCCTCGTACTGCGAGGCTAATTTCACACTCTCATGGCGTTGTATGTATATGAAGGTCATCAGCATTTAAAATAACAATGCAATGTCAGGTCGCAGAAAATGTGACGCTTAATTTGGGGGTGGGGGGACCAAGAGTAATATAGTTAGATAGAAATTTTATTTAAAGAGGGTAGCACTTAGACTGACGAAGTACTAACATACTTGTGGGTTGTGGCTCTCAAAATCTTACATAAAAATGACGGAATATATCTCTAACTGTCAAGATGGACTTTTTCGTACTTGCTTAATTTGAACTTGCATTCTGTTTGTTTGAATACGGCAAAAGAAATCAAGAAATAGAAATCATTTCTGCCCCGTGTAGACTGTAGTCTGTAGATCGCGCTATTACTAAGCACTGCTAAGCACTGCTTGTTGCTTGGGATGTGGAGTGTTGTTGTTTTGGAACCATGCCATCGTAGACAAATATATTTGGCTAACGTTGTTTACAACCTAGTTGTTCTCTAGAGTTTACAGAAGCTTAGAAGTCTTAGAATAGAACAAAAGTAACTAAGGCCACATAAAAAAAAATAGTTGGTTAGCGTCCCCGCCCGCCCACAAAAAAGGCCCCGCTCAGGATTTTTTTTATTTTTTATTTAAAAAAACCCAACTTTTAATGATCAACGGGCTCTAATATATGTAGTATTTCTGTTGACTGTAGTCAATTGTGTTAATAATTTGCGAAATTGCGTGCGAAAATGACGGTATGAATCATATTTTGAAATATATAAAAAAATATCTGCACTGCGTAAGAAAATCCAGTTTCGGACCTAACAGTGAGTAAAGCCAAGGCGTTAAAAATTAGTAAAAATTAAAAAAAAAGCGCCCGCCCGCCCACTTTTGGCAAAAGCTAAGGACGCTAACCAACTATTTTTTATGTGGCCTAAGCATGTAGACCATGTAGACAATAATTACGGGAAACACTGAGTATTTTAATAACTGATATAAAACAACGGTAACTCCGAAAATAAACGTTTTAATCGTTCTAGCTTTCGACTAAGATTCAGTCATTGATTCCTGATGCTGACTGAATCTTAGTCAAAACTCAAAAGCTAGAACGATTAAAATGTTTTTACAGTTTCGGAGTTTATACCGTTGTTTTACATGTAGACTCTAAAATGAAGTTGGGTTTAAACAAACATATTAGCCAAATTTGCTATTGCAATTCAGTTGCTCATTATTCCGGCTTATTTTGGCTCGATCACGTTATCAGTGGATGTAGGCGGAATGACCATGCGGAATGGCATCGATCACTGAGCTATACTATGACATGGACGAATGCAAATTTGGGACATTTTCTGACCCTAATTACCTAACCTAATCCCTGCCCCAATTTTAACACAAATCCTGATCCTAACCCCTAGCCAAACTCTAACCGATTCCACATGCCATTCTGCACAGTTATTTCGCTTTTTCCTGGTCTTTCACATTCTTTTACATCTCGCTGTCTCGCAAGGATTTGGGTTTGATTCAAGGATTTAGGATTAGGATTGGTTTTAAGTCGGCGCACGCCCGTGGTGTATAAATAGCCAGCGGTTTTGTGCATAAATAAAAAAATTCATTTTATTAAATGAGTGAAATATTTACATAGAATCAGATTTCGGCGTTTCGAGATTTCTGCCCGAAGATCAGACAAAATAAAACCATGGATGGCACTTATCAACCAACCACGGAGCCCACATCTCCCAACGAGGATGCCAGATGCAGTTTCGGTTCGTTTTGGCGGCGAGATCGGAGCCAAAATCGAGAGCATTTTGACGACGATGATGCCGAGGACGAGGCCCCCAAAAAGTCCAAACGCCTTTCAAAGACTAGAAACAGCTATAGGTAGTGTATTATCCTTATAAAGTAAACAAAAGGAGGGGTTTATTTCACTTGTTTATTCTTGGAAAGTTATCCCTTTTCATATCGAACTTATTTATATACGAACGACAAAATTGCTGCAACTTGTTTCAAGGCAATTTTGTTTAGAACTTGCGAAGATTTGTCTATGGTGTTTTGTATAAACTTATACATGAACTTTTTTAACTTAACCTGTGTCTAAATCGGCTTTTATTGCAAGATTCAGCAACTTTGTTGTTCGTATCAGTTTAGCTTAAAGTGCTACCGATACTAATTGTTAAACGGTTCGGGTTTCAAGTTTGATTGCAAATTTGATATGTTGTTTTCCACATTTCAAATATTATAAAAGTAGGCGTAATTACGCATAAGTTGCAATTTTGTGTTTTGTCGTGAGTTTTAACCGTTTAGTGTTTTACAAGGCCGCAAAAGTATAAATAATGGGTTAGTTTTCTTGAACATTCGGTATATTTTGGTTCATGTTGCCCAGTGTACCAAACATGTGAGATATTTTGATGGGGAACAATAATGATTGTGTTGATTTAATTGTCTGCAAGTATGCAATCGTAGGCGTATATTTTGTAATAAATATTTCCCGTTTTTAAAGCGTTTTATATAATAAAGTTATGAAAGTATATCTTATGATGACTAATACTGCATATAGATTTGGTGTGAAATGCCTAATATGAGGATGTATTATGTGTGTATAACTATCAGGGTGCATTGACAGAGAATATTGACAGGAATTTATTGGAGATCATTAATGAATATTACACTTTGTAAATTAAACTTCGGGTCCAGACAGCTCTTTACTTTAAACTGTGAACAGCCAACATTTTCCCTGGTAAAATAACGGAATAGGTATTCCAGTATGTGGCACGGTAACCGTAGGGGACTACAAAATCTAGGGTATATTAATTGAGGGTGCAATGTTGTCAAACAGGTTGATAGCAATGGTATTCGTTACATTCTATAAATACCAGAAATGTAAAGAGCAAGTCAAAATCTGGAACTACCAAAAAATTGTAAAATTGTGGCACTGACTTTAATTTTGACAAAAAATTTTATTAGAAAATCTGTGGGCATTTGCACAAGATCAAGGCTTTCATGGAGCATGCAGCAGCCCATTCAATGCAAAATCTCCATACATTAAATTTTATGTTTTTGGAGTTGATGCTAGTGCCACAGTTCTTAAAATTTAGTCACCAAATTTTGCATACTTATACTAATGGGTTATTCCAGAAAAGATCCCAGGGCTCAAGATTTCAATTTTTTATTAGTATCCAAGTGGATACTAGGGTGGGTCTTAAAATCTAGTATCCCTATTTGAAATTTAGTATCCCAGATTTGGGTTGTACTAGTGTGTATTTCGATAAGTGGTATCACATGCTTTTTTTATCTCGTGCTAGCAGGGAAAAACCATAGGCTTAGAAATACGAGTCAAATTTCATTACGTTGCGACAAGAAATCGCATGTAATCATTGATTATCATGTTCTGAGCAATCATTGTCGAAAATAGACAGGCAGAAATTAACCTCGTGCTTAGGTCCATTCCATTTTCGTGTGACAAACAACAACAACAAAAATGTTGACGGACATTTCGCCGCGATGTATGAACTTTGCCAATATTTCGATTTTTTTAGTATCCCATCGGGATACTAAGCTTATGATATCTAGTATCCAAATTCCAAAATTGAAATTTCGTATCCCGTGGATATCGGGATACCGCTAATCTTGAGCTCTGGATCCACACTCTTCCCAAGAAAGAAATTTCTGCCATTCAGAGAGGGAGGGGGTGGGGAATGTTTATGATTATAATTAGTAAGTGTATTAGGACATCCATGGGGGTGGGGGTCTTAACTTCCCAATTGCCTTCGTGGGAGAGTTTTCTGGAAAAACCCAAGGCACATTTCAGAAACAACTTTCTTGCAGGCACATTTTAAAATAAATTTTGTAATTCTTATTTTATTATGTATTTCACTATCTGTTATTATTAGTCTAATAAAAATCTTTGTTGACACTGACAAGTTAAAATGTCTAGAGAACAACTGCCAGTGCATGTGTATGATTGTGAGTTGGAGCTTAATTTCTCAATTTCTTGGGCCAAAAGTATATAAAGCCATAATTCATAAGCCAACCTACTAATCGGCATCTACTATTCATGGCTGTTAGCTCATCACATCGTGATTTTGCATGATGACATTTTGCAGGCACATTTTCAAAGTTTTTGTGGTTGCAGGCACGCAAAAAAGTTAACAACCCCTGGGTGTTTATATGAGATTTTTTATATTTCAGTCAACTATGTCGTCCATTGCCATGTGTACCAGCTCAGTCAACCAGCGGAGCAGGATTGTCAACATCAAGGACGTCAATTGGAAGTACATTAGAGAGAGAAGCTGAGGCTGCCAGACCAGCAACAAACACTGGCAGCAAGTGGAATGTCGTACGAAGGTCTGTTGTTGAGAATTTTACAATTACATGTGTTTTTCAAGTCCTGAAATTTTGTCTTAGTAGTGTTTATGATTTTGCTTCAGTTGTATGTGGGATGAGAATTTCTAGTTGGTTTGTACATAACTTAACAGGTTTTTTCCAGGAATTATATCTGATTCTTTCAGGCAATGTGCAGTGCTATTAGGAAGGCTCAGTTTATTTGTTTCCTTTTTGCAGCAAAATCAAGAAAGGCACAGAAGAATTTTTCTGTCTGTGTGACGACGAACAACAACGGCAATTGCTACAACAAAAATGGACGGCTCGACGTAAACGATATTGTAGCAAACGTTATGGTCAACTTGTCAACCCTGACCAGTTAGATGGTGATGCAACGCCCAGATTTGCTAGCGTCAGCAGTAGTCGCAGCGGCCACATGAATGTGTTTATGACCGTCAGTCCTGCTCAGGGACACCCCCCTGTGTTACAGAGGGCAAAAAGTAGAAAGGAATCTGTAGCCTCAATGGCATGGCAAGGTCTTAAAACCAAGATCATAGTAAGTACTGGAGGGCACTCGAAGACATGGCCAGATTTTGAAATTGTTTTGCACCTCTCCTGAGAATTTTGCACCTCTTCTGAAAAGTCATGCACCTCCCCTTGGGAAAGTTTCAATGATAGATCAAAGTGAAAATTTGACATTTTTTGGTTGCTTAGGGTCTACACTTTGTAAGAAAGTTTTTCTGTAAAATTGAAAGCTATTCATCTCTGTGTCAAGTACCCTTTTAATGCAATGTTATGAAAGAAACTTTGTAGTAATGAAGGGCAAACTTAAATGAGTTGTACAGTCATAATTCATTAAGACACTGATACATATGTACACTACATGCATATGTCAGGTTATTGACTTCGCCCCATTCTAAGCCCTAACTTTCCATGGGGGTTGTGACTCGTGAGCTAGACCGCTGCACCTCCCCTAACTCCCCCCCCCCCTGACTATTTCCACCAAAATCCGACCTTGCTCGAAGACTGTATACTTCTGCCAGCAAATTAAGTTATGTAACATGCATAAATTATACAATGGGTGGAGTAGTTCAAGCAACTCGTTGAAATAAATTATTTTGTGGAGATTTTCTAGTTTTTTTATTGAATGAATAGACCTTTCCCCTTTTGAGTGAAATTTTGATTTAGATATGCCTGGATAAAAATTTCATCACAGCTTGAAAGAGCACCACAAAATTAGTAATATTCCGAAGTTTTGTTGCGGAATGTTGTAAAATGCGGATAATATAGCCTTGCGAAGTTTGCCGTTTTTCAGTCATTTTGTATTACAAACGGGAAATTGATAATCAGATGATCAAACTGATTATCAATTTCCCATTTGTGATACCAAATGACTGAAAAACGGCAAACTTCGCAAGGCTATATTATCCGCATTTTGCAACATTTCGCAACGAAACTTCGGAATATTACTAATTTTGTGATGCTATTTCAAGCTGTGATGATTGTCTAGACTTGTCTAGATCACAATTTCACTCAAAAGGGGAAAGGTCTATTGAATTCCGAGTTTTGCCATTGAGACCTTTGATTTAAGTTTCAATATATCTTCCAGGGTGGTGATTTTCCATCAGCGTTACCTCATGGTGAAATGATTGGTAAAGAACGAAGTTTCGCTCCCGCTACGCTCGCTCATCTTGCTCATGATGAAGAAGACGGTGTTTTTGAGAGTGCTGTGAGTAGAGCTTAGATATTGCATTTGGTATAAAAACTTTGACAGACTATGAAGGTTTGCCTCTAACAAACGCTATAAGTTTTCTAAGGGTGTTCCGGCTTCCTCACATAGTAACATTGGGAGGTTTCCTAACGTAGTAACACTCCAGGAAGAACAGTTTAAAACTGATAGAGCTATCCAGTATAAATGAGATTAGTTTAGTTTAGGTTTCCTCCTGTAGTAACACTGGATCAATAAGAGATGATCCTTACTGGACCTCTAGGAAGAACACTTTAAAACTGATAGAGCTATCCAGTATAAATAAGATTAGTTTAGTTTAGGTTTCCTCCTGTAGTAACACTGGATCAATAAGAGATGATCCTTACTGGACCTCTAGGAAGAACAGTTTAGAAATGACAACTATCCGGTATAAATAAAGTTAGTTTAGTTTAGGTTTCCTCCTGTAGTAACACTGGATCAACAAGAGATTATCCTTACTGGACCTCTATGAAGAAGAGTTTAGAACTGATAGAGATATCCAGTATAAATAAGGTTAGTTTAGGTTTCCTCTTGTAGTGACACCAATCCAATAAGGCATGTTGGCTCCTTACAAGAGGTATCTAGTATAAATAAAGTGCTTAGCCATAATGATGATTTGTTTCTTCTTCAGCCAAACAGTCCCAGATCATTGCGTGATATAGACGATGAAGTTTTCTTTGATTTCATATCTGGAGCTCCAGGCTCAACCCAGTCCTCTCTGCCTGCGATCAGGGAAGATGACGAAGTCGATGCACCTCGGTGAGTCACATGATTATTGTAGTATCATCGACCAGTCTATGAGGCGCAGGAATAAAATATTTGTGCTTTACATGTCGTTTAAGGATTTATACTGTATCTTTAAAGGAAGAATTTTTCATAAATTTAAGGATTCCTCTTGATTTTTCTTTTGAAGTGGACATATTTCACCACAAATCGACATCATACCAGAACTTCCGGAAAAACTAAAACTGGACACACTGGATGAACCTGAACCGCCGCCATTACCAGCGAAGAAAATCATTGGCAAACAACAGGAAGAACGAGTTCCATTACCGGTTATTGAGCCCTCGGATGTACGACCTCGCATGACTCGCCAGATCAGCACGGCGAGCCAACGTGGAAACCGGATAATTCGGTTGCCTCAGGCCACCGTATCGTCTGGGAATCGTCGTCAGATTGGCAAAGGTTTAGTTGGACGGTGGTTGAATAGAACCATTAAGAGGAAACGTTTGACTAGCGCTGTTAAAGAACAAATAGATAGCTTGGAAGATCACAGGTATGACTAGGTTTTATTATTATTAAATTCAAATGTTTACACTGATATACATAACATGTTACAACACAACGTACAGTATGTGAACCTGTGGTTGTGGAACAGAATTTTCGCCCCAACTAATACCTCTAGGTTTGTTTGTTTGTTACCTCCGCCAGGAGGTTATGTAATCATCTGGGTTTGTGTGTGTGTGTGTGTGTGTGTGTGTGTGTGTGTGTGTGTGTGT